ATATATATATATATATGTATATAAAATATATATATATATATATAAAATATATATATATGTATATAAAATATATATCTTAAAACAATAAAAATAGGAAAATAACAAGTTTTTATGTTTAATCTACAGATGATTCCTCTTTCAATTTCTGGATAATTACGCCAATGATAATTAGATGATATAATATACGTTACGATTAGAGGATATTATATACGTTCATAATAAAAAAAGTATTGTACAAAGTTGTTTGTTTTAGTGACTTTTTATCTAATTATTTTGAAAGGATGATCTTAGTCTAATTAAAACTTAAAGGAAGGAAAAGAAAAACCATGTTACTCAAATTGATGCTTGAAAATATGCATCAGAAAATATAGACTAAAATTTTGAACGTACACAGTATTTTTACCATCCACACAACTTTCCTGTCAGATATAACTCCTCGCTTTCGTTCATACAGTGGTTTGATGAAATCCAGAACAGTCACAGTTGAAGCTGAATTAAGGCAAGAAGATATAGTACTCAAAGAAGCACTAAAAATACCAGCAATACAAATCCCCGTCATTCCAGGTATTGAACTGAATTTGTTAACAATGAATGCAGGAATAATCTAAAATTTAAAATGCGTTATATTTTAAATTATGTACTTTTGGTAAGTAATAAAGACATTTTCAGTTTAAAGGGAAAAAACCCTCTGAAGGAAAAAAATCCTCCTTAAAATTTAAAACTATATGCATAGCTGCCAACTCTTCCGGTTTCCCGGGGAGATTTTATTTTCTTATTTAAAGTGATAACGAATCTCATGTTATTCCATTAAACGCTTTAAATAATACTAATAATTATAAATAAGTTTTACCATCACTACATATAAATAATTACAGCAAATTTATGAAAGCACAATAGTATTAACGATAGGAAATTTCTACCTGTCAAAATACAAATATATTTGCCAGTAAGATTGTTTTTTAATAATTGTTTTGCTACCACTAGGAAAAGTTATTCTCGGAAAGAGTGAAAGTTGGCAGGCTTATGATTAATTGTTTAGAAGTATTTTTGAATTTTTAAGCCTATAATGAATAGATTTACTTAAAAGTTACAATATGCATAATAAAAAAAAATTCACATTGATTTAATGAAAACTTTAAACACAATTCATAATTGCTATTTTATACTGTTTTTAAAGCATTAATGAATGAAAATACCTTCTTAAAACCAATTCTATCTTATCGAACAAGTACAGATAAAAAAATGTATACTCTCACTAAAAAAACATAAATGAAACGTATCTTTTCATTTAGAAAATGAAAGAAAGGATCAAATCATTAAATTGCATGAGATTTTGATAATATAATCTATAGGAACAGCAATGAAAGAAGGAATAATATTTATGTTGCAGCATCACACGTCAGCCAAAGTTCTAAGTTTAAAACCTTTAACTCAGTTTATTTCGTTGATTAGTTTTCACCGCGAAGGCACTTAGTTAATAATTCGATTATTTATTTTGAATATATAATTTTTTCTAGCTCAACGGAACTCAAAAAGATTTTTTCATCTTAACATCTAAGTACAGGAATAATACTACAGCACATGAGTTGAGAAAGCCACGATGATGAAAGTATATCTTCAAATATATATATATGTAATTTATTACAATCAGTAATAAATTGAAGATCGTCAGTTAAATTATGGAATGAGGTAACGCTGTTGGCCACTAACAGGGAGTCCTATGAAAACCATAAGGGACCTCTTATACTACAAACTAAAATGATGAAAAGTAAGTAATTTTTGAAAAAAACTTCCGGGTGTCACAAAACTGACCGGAATTTTTGGACTGTGAGGAGAGAAAAATTGAGCTGGCTGCGTTCTGCTTAGAAAAGCGTCGTCATATCATCGAAAAATTTTGGAACTTATAGTCACGGTGAGATAAATTTACTACGTGTGATGTTTCACTCTTAATTGTTGTGGAAAGAGGCGTATGTTCATGGAAGACTTAGTGATAAATCACATTTCCAAATTGTTTAGAAGAAAATTTTTGTGTTCGTTTTTAGTGTAAACCGCAGCAATTTTCCCATGCACCAAAATAATTCTCTTATTCTTTACATTTTTATCTAGAGAAAATGTTAGGACATTTTTAAATACTCATCTAAAACCAATACTAAACAGCAGTTTAATGTAGAAGTATCCTCTTTGAAAAAAATATGTCTTTTTACTTTATTTTATTAAATTATACAGTAAATACAGTTGAGTTTCATTTTCACACATAGTTGAACATGTGTATAAATATATATTTGAATGTATATTTATACACATAGTTGAATTTTACTTTCTATAAATGTTACCTACTTGATCATATCTTTTAATTCCTGTTTGTTCTTTATTTAAAACTGGATCACAGTGATAATAAACAGAATATAATATCAGTCCAAGCGTATGACATGAAAGTAATGACAATGATGCAGGAATAATACTCATTTGAAATGTCCTGAAAAAAGTTTTCTGCTTTTAACTCTTTTCAAAATATAATTGCTAATACTTATATTTTGGAAAAATTTAAACACTTATTATGACAATTGTTGAATAGTGAAAATTAAAGCCTTCCGAAATTAAATTCTTGTAGATTGATTACTACAACTAGAATTTATTTCAAAGTATATTTTTAACTCTCTGTTAAAAAATATTGGATTTTTGATTTATTATTCTAAAAATTAGCATTTTGTCATCCAGAAAGTAATTATTTTGTTCAGCTGAATTAAGCTGTCACACAAATATGACTATAGTTGTCACAAATGACAGGCACTAATGATACGGTAGAAGAAGATTGAAGAGACATTGAACTTTTAGAAAAGTTTTAGAAAAATCTGATCTAAGATAAGAATAATGAATCTCCATTAAAACATAATTACTTAAAAAACTCAATAGACATGAAATAGTAAGATACGGAATGCAATAATATATAATTAATGAATCATAAGCTCACCGAACAAAAAATTAGTCACCCTACTCCGCAAGCACAGATGAATCGGTAGGATTCGTTAGACGACACAGTGGTCAAGTGACGTGCACACTGTTTCAACGTGATCAAAGGCAATTAGCTATCAGTGAGATATTTTTGCTTGAAGCGGAAATTGTGTGTAAATATGGGTAAGTGTAAGGTTGTGATAGAGTGTAAAAGGGAGCAATTGTGTTTTGCCGTGCCCATGGTCATTCGGTGAATGAAGTTGCTAGATTTGCTAGTGTTTCGATGCGGACTGTTCAACGAGTCTACAAGTAGTGGTGTAATACATGTGGTCAGGAAAGACGACGTCAGAATTGTGGTCGGGAAAAGCTCCAGCATGAAAAGGACCGGAGACGTGTTTCAATTGACAGAGAAATTGCTTCAGTTAGTAAATTAAGGTTCATCCCAACCTGTTAGTGAGAGAACACTGCGACGAGAGCTGCATGCAATGAACATTTGGTGTCGAACATGTCGTAAGAGGCCATTGCTCAAACAGGCACATAAGGCAGCGCGACTTCAGAGGGCTAGAAGTCACCGAACGTGGACAGTTGCTGACAGGCGGAATGTAATATGGTCTGATGAATCCCGTTTTTGCCCTTATTCAAAAGACGTACTTCGTCGAGAGCTATGGAGAGTAGGTAAAGCATTTCATCATGACTGTGTGCAAAGTCAGGTTCAAGCCGAAGCTGGGTCTGTCATGCTTTGGGGGCATTTTTCTTATTATGGATTTGGTCCTCTCACTGAGGTGGCCACTAACAAGAACCAACACGTTTACTTGAACATTCTGGATGATTAGATGTTCCCTTTCAGTCAACATCCTAATGAAGAGTGTGTTGTCCATACCCCTATTTTTCAAAATGACAACAGCGAAGATCACCGGGCTGGAAGAATATATGACTAGTTTTATGAACACTCAATCACATCTCGACTGGCTGGCGAAATCACCTGACTTCAATCTCATTAAAACTTTGTGGAACATGTTAGAACAACGGGTAAAACGCCGAAATCAGCAACCTCACAATTTCGTAGATTTGCACTATCAAATCCTCAGAGAGTGGCTTATACTGGATTCGACGTACCAGCAAAACCCATGGACTCAATTCCCAACCGAATCCAGGCAGTTTATCGAATCCAGAGGTGGTGTTACACGCTATTAAATGTTTTTCATTATTTCTCTAAGGGTGTTTTGCTTATTACTTTCATTCTCTGAGAAATTTAGTCCATTATTTTTATTTGAAGTAAAGTTTCCTTTTAATCAAATAAGATATACAATAATATAAGTATGCGTATTAAAATCTCAAACTACTTGAATTTGACCAGAATTGTGTGGCTTGAAATGAAGGAAGTTCTTTCGTGAAAATAAGTCTATTTATTAATGAAAAGTATATAGAAAAATGTTTTCAGTAAAATAAATAAAAGGATTTAGCATTTAGTTATATGCATGGTGTTCGTTAATGACGGCACATAATAGGTAGTTATTAAATCTTTATCAAAAATGATTCCAAATGAGTTGAATTTACCCAAAGGTGTTTCTTTTTTTTCTCTTCCTTATAAAATATTTTAATGGTTGTCTAAAAAACAACATTTGATACGAATGAAAAGTTTACAGATAGAAGAATGACTTCTCTATTTTCATTAATTACGCTTTTAAAAATTAGTATATACTAATTTTTATCTGTAATTTTAAGAAAAAAACGTTTAGATTTGGTGATTAGTTTAAATTATTTGCCATTTAATCACAAATTAGACATTAAAAAGCTTGACCTCTTTATAATAACACATTGAAAATCGAAACAATTTCGGAAATTTCTTTGGCATAAGCCTACAATATGAAATGAAGACATTTCATATCCTTTCCTGAAACAAGAATTTTCGAAATCCAATGATGAAACAAAATTACAATCAAATTGTAGAAGAAAGTATACAATTGTAAAAGGAAATTATACAATTTTATGATGTTTTCAAAAACAAGTAGAAAGCAAGAAAAACCAACCAACTGAAAAATTATGATTTGATTAGGAAAAGAATAGTAAAGCATCAGAGTTAAATAATTTTATACTTATTGAAGAAGGGATTATAGTAAAGACCATTCAATTGAAAATTAATGTCACATCGTTTGAGACTTTGATCCTTTTTAAGATATTTTGAAATCCTCGAAAATTTTCCTTAATTTTTGAGAATTTCATAAAAAAAACTAATGATGCGAAACTGTTTAAATTATTAAAGTGATGTTGTTAGAACAAATTATGACAAAAGTGTCTGAGTCGTCAACGTTGTTTAGTGATATGATTTAAAAATCTCATTAGAAAAGCCATCTTTGCTTCAATTGCTCATTGAATTATGAACAAATATAACGAAAGAAGTTTTAATTTTGGAATAAATATTCGTAAAAAAGTCAGAAGGGAATATAAGTTGCTTCGAAGACATCACAATTTTGTCAGTATATTTTTTTTATCACTTGCCAAGACAAGATCAGAGAAAGCGCAATCTATCCAAATACTAATTTTTTTTGAAAAACTGAATCCTGCCTTAAACCTTAGAGAACGAAAAATATATTCAGTATTTACAGCTAGATAGCACATCCGTCTTTCACGGACGGAAAAAACCGTCTTTCTTAATTTTTTCAAATTAACAATTCTTATAGATTTGTTACGAGTTTAGTTTTTACCTTTCATTAAACACTATTTTTTATTAAAAGCATTTTTTTATTAAAATGCGAATTTAAACAATTTTTTTTTCTTGACGATTCACTAAATGTAACATTAAAATTAAAAACTATTTAATTAAATGTTATTTTCTATTTCATCAGCGTATATTTTGTTTCCCACAATTCTATTTAGATAAAATTTAAAGCAAATACTTTTATATTTCCATACATCAAAATTTGATATCAAAATTTTGATATTAATCAAAATTTGAGCCAAAATTTTGACGGAAAAAATGACGAAAATGTAGATAAAATTGAAATGGTAGACATTTTAATTTTATCTACATTTTCGTCATTTTTTCCGTCAAAATTTTGGCTCAAATTTTGATTTGTCAACGAGATTATTTAGCAGTAGTATAAATCATTACAGCTTATTATTACTTTATAGTTCAGTTCATAATTTTAATTGCGCATGTTTGAAAGACACAATTTTGTACAAAACTTGTCAGAAAATTAAACATAAAACACTGTTAAGAGTTTCATACGGTAAAATAACCAGCAGTAGTTTGTCCATGCAATAAACAATAAAGTTTATGATTAGAAACATTTCCTTATCTTAAAAGTTATGGAAATGGTACGGTAAAGCAACCGTTAACACAAAACTAGACGGTTTCGTAACCATTTGCAACTAACATAGTTCCTAAACCATAAAAATGAAATTTAAATTGACATGGGAGTTCTGTGGAGGTTATGTCATTTTTGCGTGGATGATAGTTTCGTATTTTAAAAGTCACAGATTGACGAATGCAGGACTCTTCAGGTGTTGAAGGAATGTCAGGAATATTGTGGTATCAACGCTGGGATTCGATGAAATGGCTTCGTTAGGTGGGCCTAGTTGGCGCATATAGAATTCTGGTTGCTATTAGGTAAAAGCAATTAATAAACGTTTTTTTCTCACTCATAACACATTGCATATAATCTTTGTTATGGTTATTTGAATATTATGGTTGTATATATGGTAAAATGACAATGAAATAAATTGTTATTTAGCCATTTTTAAAGATAAAATTCTGACAGTGCAGATTTAGAAGTAAATATAATCTTTAACCATTATGTTGCTTATATCTACACCATATGTGTTTTCACGATTACTACATAAACTAACAAAATAAGTTTAAATATAAGCAACAGAATAGTTTTAAATAGTTTAACTTCACCAAATGAAGATTAAATATCTCTATAATTAAAATCAAACTGATGTGTCTTTTTAAAAATATTTAATTAAGTACTAGTAAATCAGGGTTAAATAAATAACTTACAGGCAAATACGATTATAAGTTTTAGTAATTTTAATCTGATGACTGACTAAGATTTTTGGATATTTTTTGTTTAAATAAGAAAATTACACCACTCGTTATCTAGCTTTAAGTTGCGTAATCTTTTTATGTTCTATTGAGAAATATTTGCTTTAATGTTTTTTTAAATATTAAGAATATTTCATTTGCAAATTCAAGAATTATTTTAAAAATTAAAATTTCGGAAATATTTCATGCATAAATTTGTCTTTTTTTTCTGCTTCTGCAATGCAGTTTTAAGCGTAATCGCAAGATTCCAAAAGTTAATATATTTTTAATTGCTTTAATAATATTTTATTTTAAAAATGTTTTATAAAGATAGTATTTGAAATTATATTGTATAGTATTGTATAGTTATAAATCATTCTAACTAAATTATGATATTAAACCTATACTAGTAAAGGAGACTTTTTACCAAAATAAATTTACCTTTTTGAAGATAAAGAATATTTAAATATCCTGGATAATAAAATTGA